CTTGTGAAGACAGTCAGTTACCCAATGAGGATCTTCCTTCACAACGAGCACGGATATTGACAAGTTGTATTCGTTTCATGCTCATACTCATCAAAAATACATTATCCGTAACGAATACTCGTCTGAAACAAGTATCCGGCTCAACCCTATCTACATCAGGGAGTAACGATGTCTCTGCCGTTATTAAAAGCTGACAGGGGTCCGACCTGAGGGCACAGAAGAGCTTTGTTTACGTTTGTAACACGGAAGTAGAGCTGAAAGTTTACAACACTGCACATGTCCGGACTTTTATTCTGAATAAAAGTCTGATGCATGCAAACACTTGTCATGATCGGATTGTGTCCATGTAAAGAGTACATTCGGATTATTTAATCTGAATACATTTCAATCAGATCAAAAAATTTTGTGCATGTAAACATATGCGATCTCCAATAAACAGTAAATTAAAATCTTCATTTAAATTGGACGGCTCGTGTCAAGCCCTTTCATAGTTTCTCCAGGAACTATTCTAGTTTACTTTTTGTTATCCAGCTCCATTTGTTCTCGTAATTAAAGCCCCTGACTGACTTGGTTGATGAGTAAAAATAAATTGTGATAACGAGCTCCTTGAAGACGTGGAGCCGTTGTCACAGCAACTCATAAAAAGCTTCTTGTGTTGGTTAACAGAGATGTTTCTGAACACTCACTGAGGGCTGAATCCACAGATCGACACAGAATCGACTAGTGTTTCCATTTCTCTGATCAGCAACTTGTTTTCAGATGCACTATCTTCTCTTTCCTCATTAATTTGTCTCGTTTGAATGTTTTTTTCCTCTCAGCTCACCTTATTGATTTCATTTATCTCCTCATTTCTACTAATTTCCTTTCATTTCCCCTTTTTGTAATCTCTGTTTTTTAAGATATATCTTTTTCTTTTCTTGTGTATATTTTGTCTTTCTATTTTCTTCTTCTTTGACCTTCTACATCATCTTACCTCACTTTCAAATTTAAATCACCTTCCACCCCTTCTTCTCCTATTTCCATCCTTTGTTCGGTCTCCTGACTCTCTGCTCGTCTTTCTTCAGTGCTTCAGGTTCTGGTCCCATGTTCCGGTCCACCACCGTGGCAATCGACACAGCAAATCAGTCTGGGCCAGACTCGGAGCGGAACTGGGCTGATTTCCACGCAAGTGGCGCCACACAGGGAACAAGTAAGAGCTCTTACCCACTTAAAAGGAAACGTGTAAGGCCGCTTAAATAGTTAATGAGTGTTTGGTTTTGGTGATGAGGATATCTTTCTTGATACTGAAGGATTAACCAGAATGTGGTCTGCTGCAGAAGAGCTGAATTAACTCTGTTTACAGCGTTTGCTGGGGAAGAATTGAGGCTAGAGAAATGCTGCTCTGTCTAAAACAAGAAGAATGTAATCTGGGCAATTAATAAAAAAAAGTTGAAGATTTAAAGAGTAAAAGATTTGAAAGTATTTCCCACCAAAACTATAGGAGTTCAGTGACAGAAACTACAGGAAACAATACAGAATATCAGCAACACCAACAAACAAAGGAGAAATTTCTACATTTGGACTGTGGTGGCCTTTCTACAATCTGAGGAAAAGCTGAATCTTCTCACAGACAGGAACCTGTTTTCAATGTTTCTCACAGCTGTGGATGAAAAGGAAGTTTTTGAAGTTATTCAGAAATGTAAAAGTAAAGAACCTTTGGATTGTGATGATTTTGATATGTAAGTGGTTAAAACTGGAACTGTGCACACCACTGCAAAGATCAAATGGGATCCATTAATAAGAATATGTTGGGGGTGATTCTCAGCAACTGTCATAAGATTTTAGCTCAGTATCTGTGAAACTGACTGAGTTATGACAAGTAAAATGTTGTCTAAGATCAAGTATCTGCACATGGCATTTTGAATCAGGCAGATTCCAGTTGTAGATTAAATGATTAATTTTAAAAGTCTTACCACAGACTTGCGCAAAAGAGGCATTTGCATGATCACCTAAAATGTATAAAAACCTTTCAATATCAAAAATCACAACTAAAACTCAACATGAAAACTTTCCTTGACAGCAGGATTCTAGTTGGACTTTTGCACGAACTGCATTGGTTTGGAGAATAAATGTGTAAAAATAGATAAAAACAAGCCTGACTGGGAATGAAGTCTAAGACTGAATTACTTATAGTTAAAGTTGTCATTTCAACTGAATTTGTTCTGAATCAGAAGCTGATCCTTTCAGTCCATCTCCAGTGGATCTGAGTGCCAAACAAATGCAGTTTTTAAAAGCTGGGGAAGTGCAAAGCAGAGCTCGTATTTCAAAGAAACAATCAATTGTCACTCTGTCGAGTCTCAGAAATATGTCACCCTCTCAGCCGGTGAAGTTTTCTCATTTTCAAGTCAAAACCAATGGAAAAGTTGGACAGCTTCATTTGAATTCACCCCCCTCTGAGGACAAAATGCATTTTCACATTCACAATAAGAAGTGTAATAATTTATTTTAAGGCTTCTTAAAAGCTCAAATATTTAATAAATGTGTTGCGTGGTGTTAGGAGATGGTACAATAAGTTTTAGAGTTGTGAGTCATCTTGAAACCTTTGTTAAGGAATAACTGTCTGAATCATTCCTTAAAGTGACAGATGAGTTTCTGACAGCTTGTCATGATCCAAAAAATGTGCTGAACTAAAACTTTTACTTTCTCATTTTATTATTTATGAATGTCTTGCACAATAAATTTTGACCTTGCCTTTTTTTTAAACTAAATTCCTTCTTATAAAGCATAATTTATACATTAAAAACAACTAAAGCTTGGGCGAATGATCCTGTCAAGTTTAAATCAAACAGTCCTGATGCATCTCAGTAATCCAGGTAGAAAAAATCAAAAAGAAAAAATCAGTAGGTCCTCTGGATGGTTCTTCTTTAGTGAAACGTTTCATCTCTTGTCCAAAAGACTTCTTCAGTCTAATGAGTTTCAGGTGAACTCAGCCTTATTAAGCACTGCCTCCACATGGACAATGTCCATTTGTCTTCCACCTACAATGCTGCCATTGCAACTATGACTCCGCCCCCTGTGAGCAAAAGGTGTGAATCAGGGCCCCAATGATACCAACACAAAGAGGGAGAGAGGGACAAAAACAAGGGGACGTTGAACCCCCGCTTGCATTCACTACATTCACATAACACGACACGGGTCAGGTGATGGGACACATGACTCTCTATGAACAACAGAGCTAATCAAGTCTAATGTTAGTCGATGGCCCTCTTTTGCATGTGACTGACCTGTTTGACCAGGTGGAGGCGGAGCTTATAAGACTGAGTTCACCTGAAACTCCTCAGACTGAAGAAGTCTCTTGGAGGAGAGACGAAACGTTTCACTAAAGAAGAACCATCCAGAGGACCTACTGATTTTTTTTTTTTTATTTAATCCAAACACATTACCACTGTCAGCAGTACTGATTGTTTTCTTCTCATTTCAGAGCCTCAGAACCAGTCGATCCAACCCTTCCTCCCCTTGGATCCCACACTGGAAACCAGACTTCTGAGCAACACACAGTGGCCATTTGATGGAACTGATGCCAACATCTCCCCAGGAGCTGCTGGTGAATCCTGTTTCCTGAAGAAGACCCACGTGGACCTCACAACAAACCACACAATGAACACGGGAAACAAAAACTGGACCAACACCAGCCTATTTCACAAGCGTCCTTGGGCACTGAATTATGTAAACCCCAGATCTTCCAGTGATATCCCAACATGTGACACTGACAAACCTCATGGGTCATATTTCAACAGGACAGTAGCAATCAACGGCTGCAAGGACCCCACCACCACAACAACCACCGGCAGAGCAATCGGCACAACTTCAGACATCCCGTCGGGCCCCAGCAGAGTCCGACCCGTGTCCTTCTCACTGCCCAAACGAAGCTGTGTCCTTCTGCACCAATCAGCCGCCGTCTTTATTCAAACTGGACGAGGGAAACAAGACGGTGTGACGGCGCAGGACAGGATGAAAACCCCCCAGCAGCAGCTCAAGTCTCCATCGTCTGCAGATGTAGATGCTGTATGTGTCGATCACTGCCTCACTGTCAACCCCTGCTGCAGGAAAACTGAGTCTGCTGAGAGAGGCCCATCAGCACGGCCTGGGACTGGAGCTCAGGCTTCTTCCTGTAACTCCACACTAACTGTACCTGAGAGCACTGGTGGGAGTGGAGCCCAGCGCTCTTTATGCAATGAAAATGGGACCACAGCCCAAGTCGGCAGTGGCTGTCAGAATGGAACAGATCCTAATTTAAACAGTGAAATACCAGAACAGATTTCAGATTCAATACAAAACGCCTCTGAGGGTGAAATTCACCAGCAGGAGTTATATTTGCCCCAAGAAGAGAAAGATCTGTTTGGTCCTGAAACAAACGAGCCTAAAAGTTCTGTGTCTGCTGTTTTAATGGAGAACAAGGAGTCTCCAGCTCTGCCACCGCCAAAACAATCAGCCTCCTTCATGTCAAACTCTACAACTTCTACTTCCACTCCCCCAAACCGACCCAAAGAGCCTTTCTGTCCAGTCACGAGCCGTGACGGGAGAAGGGTTCTTCTCTGGCCCACGGAGATGGTCAGCTACACCCAGACTTCCCCCTCCGTATCCTACAGCGTCAATCCTCTGCTGTACGACTTCAGAGCTCATAACAAGGCCAAAGAAGGCAGCGCAGAAAAGAAGGAAGGGAGGGAGAGAATAAAGCCATCTGTGATCAAACAACCCGACTGCCAGCAGAGGCACCCAGATACAGGAGGAGGAAGTGAGGTGAAGATAGATGAAAGAGGAGAGGAGGCTGAAGGAGGACAGGGAGGAAATCCTGTGGAAGTCGCCGACCGTTGTGACGGCAGCGACAAAATTCTGGGTTGCTCCGGCTGCCGTGATGAAAGCGCTTTAAAATCAGTTCCCGCTCCTGCCGAGTGCAACCCTGCACCGGCACCGAGCCTGCTGAAAACAGCAGGGAGACGGAGGAGAAGGAGGGGAGGAGTGAGGAGAGGAATGAGAAGGAAAGGTCGAAGGAAAAGAAGAGGAAAGACGGAGGGGAAAGAATCTGAGAGGGGAAGAAGGATAAGTCCTCATTTTGTAAATCAGATGTTTGAAGAGAGAGGCGAGGAGAAGCTGAAAAGAGAGGGCAACGTAAAGGAGGAGAAGAAAGATAAAGAGCTATTAAGTAATCTTCTTGCAAATCGGTTAGCAGGAGGGAAAGAAAAGAAGATGAGGGGAGAGGAGCGAAGGATAAGAAGAGATCAGTCAGAGCGAGAGAGGCCAGGCAGAAATGACGAGAAGAGGGGAGAGCTATTAAGTAATCTTCCTGTGAATGGGTGTAATCGCTGTAACCAGCTGTGTGTGCAGGTGAACAGGGAGGCCAGCCAGCATCAATCCCAGCAATCAGACTCTGAATGGGGCCAGGGGCTCAGAAAGCCCCTCTGCATGGGGGCGCCATGCAACTCGGTGATTAGCCCCGTCCCAGAGTCTGTTATGGAGACGCCGTGCTGTCCTGCAATTACACCTGACCCTGCTGGGGATGACAAAGGGACGGGAGCGATGCAGGGGAATATACAGGCAGGGAAGGAGGAAGGGCAGAGAAATCTGAGGAGCAGCGAGATAAGAGCCGCTCAGGATGCTGAGGTAAACACGTGTAAGCCTGCGATTAGCGGCGGTCGACACGCAGCGAGCGGCGGAGGAATTTGTCTCGTTCTTAACGCTCACAGGGACGCAGCAGCCTTTCCCCGCGTCCCCGCTTCCTCCGGAGAAACAGTGTGCAGTCAGAGACAAACAACGCCTGCAGGACAGAGCGGTGCTGTGGCGGCTCAGAGCCCACGCTGCCACACACAACACACACACAAACTGACTATTAGATCGGCTTGCACGGACGTGACCCTCCGCTCGCTTCCAGAGACCCTGCAGAGAGCGAGCACCAAGAGGAAGGGAGGCTCTCCAGAGCCGGCCACGCCACGGAAGAGACGGAGGAGACAGACGGAGAGGGTTTTGACTCAGAAAGAGGACAGAAGTGAGGCCGGGTTTGAACCTGAGCTCAGTGTGAGCGAGGACTGCAAGGATGCAACAAGTTCAGGTGACATCTCTTTAATCGACGGGACAAAAAGCTCTGTGTGTGCGGAAACGTTTAGCTGTGACACGGCTGACAAACCTGAACGCTGCTGCTGCTGCTGCCATGACAGCCGCGGCGGCGCTAACCACCGCCGTCAGTTTCACTTTGATCCGTGTGGAGGAACGGTGATGCCTCCCGCTGACTGTCACACCTGTAACACACACACTCAGAGCGCACGGCGAGACAAAACAACTGATTCTGCCACTTCTCGTGACGATTCGTGCAACAAACATGATGCAGATCATGAGAAGAGCTGTCAGTTCCATGAGGCTGATGGGAGAGGTTTAACAGAGACCCTCTGCACAGACCCCTCTGTTCGTAGCACTAACAGCCTTTATCAGAGTCCAAACAAACACGAGTCTTCTCCCTGCAAACCTGACGACCCGTTTGATCAGAATATAACCGTTTCACAGGGACAGGTCCAAACCGACCCCCCATCTGATCCAGGAAGTGATGTCATCAGCTGCAGGGCTGCTGATGCTAACGGTGGTCAGTGTGGTGGTCTCACTGCTACTCCTCATTCTGACCGCTGCAGTAAAGATGCTAACAGCAGCAGAAACATACTCATGAGGGAGCACAGAGAGGAGCACAGAGAGGAGCACAGAGAGGAGCACAGAGAGGAGCACAGAGAGGAGCAAAGAGTCACGGAGAGGCAGAGACGGGAGGAGGAGGAGAAACGGCAGCTGGAGAGGAAGAGGGTGAAGGAGAAGCAGGAGGAGTGGGTGAGGAGGAAGGAGCTGGAGCAGCTGTTCTCAGAGAAGAGGCAGCGCTATCCTCATCACCTCCCCTCACAGTGCCTCCCCCTCCACGCTCCCCTCCTCCTCCAGCCGTCCCTCTCCTCCTCCTCCTCCTTCTCCTTCCACCACACCTTCATCCAGCACCATCTCTCCCTCCTGCCGCCTCCGTCCCACCTCCCCGTCTCCTCCTACCCTCACCTCCTGCCCTCCTTCTCCTCTCATCTGTCTCCTCTCGCTCTCAGCCCACCTCCTGCTCCTCTTCCTCCTCCTCCTCTTCCTCACTCTTTCTATGCCTCCTCTCCAATTCCGCTCCTGGATGCTCCCAGTGCGTTTCCCTTAGCAGCAGCGTTTCCTCACCCTCCCCTGTACCCCCCTGCAAACCCAGCAGTCCTGCCCCTGCAGGTCCTGTTCTAAACCCTGAACTGGTCCAGTTCTGGAGAAACAAAACTTTAGTTTCTTCCACTTCCTGAGTTTGATCTATCAGGACTAAACAAAAATAAACATGGTTTTTATCAGGATCTAAAACTGTTGCTTCAGTTCTGTTAGGTCTCTGAAGGTCAGGTTCAGGTTCTGGACTCTGACTGGACCAGTGCAGGACCTTGATTCTTTTCTTTCTGACTTTCTAATGGTCCTGTCATGACCTTTGACCTTTGACCTGCTTCCTGCAGGGACTGAGAAGTGCATGATGCTGTAGCTGTGTCTCAGTTCAGGGGTTTCAGCCGATGTACTTCACATTTGTCGGCTGTTTACGTAGGCTGTCCCAATTCTTAGGCACCTACTCATGTGGCCGACAAAGCCCTGAAAAGGTACACTGCAAAAACTGTCCACCTAACCAAGTTTTAAAATCTTATATCAGCCAAAAAGTCTTTTTGATCTTGTTTTGAGACTGATTTACTAAACAAGAACTGAATCTGTAAGATTATTTGTCTTGTTAGTC